GCAGTTCTCCCACAATGTGGTCAAAGTATCCGATTTTAACCCATCTGAGGAAAATATGATTACTTATTCTAACTTTCTCCCTACTCTAGAGCGTTCAACAGACCACTCACAGGCTTAAGTGTAGGTTCTACTATTCAACATGTGCTTGTGTAAACCATCCCTCTTTTTAACCTACATAACCACAAAGATGGAATGAAATATTCAATTTGATCTCAACCAAATCTAGACCTAAGATAGACATTATGGGTCAATTGATTTTACAAATTCACACAAAGGATATTAAGCCTTAATACGATTTTCTATTTTAAGGTTTTTAAATGGACGATTTTTTATTTTAAGGATTTTAAATGGTAAATGAATACCAATCATTGTTAAGGTTTGAAACTTTGCACATACATATATATTTGAAGATTTAAAAAGGAAGAAAAATAATTTAAAAAATGTGTTTGTATTGCATGTTGTTTTTTGTGATCAAATAAAAGTCCTTATTTTTGATGGCGGGCATGATAACTACTCACTGGAACATCGAATCCGAAATTTCCAACTGTGTTAGAAAGAGTACAAGTCTGACTCTCGTATGGACTGGGATTATCGGTTCAATCATTGTTCTCCGTAATATTCTGAAGATGGGGTCCCACTCCGTTCTTTCTGGTACGTCCCCTATAAAGGGAAGAGAATGAAGTGCACATCGCAAACCCATATTTAATACGAAGATGGGTTCTATTGACAACTCTTTGTGGTACACTCTCAACTTTTTTGATCAAGCAATAAGAATAGTGAACAATATTTATAAAAATGAGCATATAATCTCCACATAGATAGATAGGTACCAATCTCACAAATTGCAATAATCAAAACTCTCTTAAAATGGTATAAAGTACCATATTTGCATTAAATTTATAGACAGCAAGCATTACTCTATCCCGAAACATAAACTCTGACTCCACAGACCTTGAAAATAAATTTTCAAAATAGGTGTATATTTCTAAGGGTATATATTAACACCGACTGCCCAATGTCACCAAGAGTAATCAGTTTCAAAAGGACTTTCAGATAACCACCTTCCAATTACAATACAGGTCATCTTTCCGTAGCAACTCAAATGAATCCCCCTTACAATGAAAAAAAAAAAACACATACAAGTTTTTCTGCCACTGTTACAACGCATTGCGATAGAAGAGAGATTATTTTGGGTATTTCATTAATGAAGGTTGTTTTTTTTTCAAATGCGTTTATCCCCTCAGCCCCTCTTCTTTCATTTCACAATATCTCCCTGGTACACTGTCATTGACAGTGTACTTGTGTTTGGGATGTACTTATTTTTATAGGTGGATGAACCAGTCATAATGGAGCGTTTTTTATTCTTTTTTTGTAGTACTAAAAAACAGTGATAAAAATAAGGATGAACAAAACTCTTTTGTTATCCCTGCCATTCTCCTCATCATTTTCCATTTAAGTTGTTTGTTGTTGTCGTTTTTGGTATTGCAATAAATGTAACATTTTCAATTTTATGCTTAATTTTATTAATGATAACTGGAATGTTAATAATAACAATAAAGATATACACCCCTAACCCCTCTCTACCAAATGTCTACAATTGCTGTCATATCCCTCCGCCCCCTCCTTTTCCATTCCATTTTTGGTAATCTTGGGTAATAATGGCCACACATTAACGATGCTGATACAAATGTTGATGACAACAAGGACAAGGATTATTATATATTTTTTTTTTTTGTTCTTGGACAACTTGATTTCAGACAACAAAAAAAGAAACAACAACTGGACATAATGACCACATTGTAGGATCTTAATATCCCCCCAATGCTACCACGGATTCCCCCAACATGTTTCGATGTCTGTCTGTCTGACTGTTTTGTGTGTCTCTGCTTGTGCTCTGCTGCTTGTTAAGTTTTGTGTTTTCCACTTTGTTAGCAAGAAATCAATCTTTTTTAAATCGAGTTATAAATCAGCATTTTATTTCTTCTTCTTGGTTATAAATGCCGAATCATACGCTCACACACCTACCCCACACACACCACCCAACCAATCCATCCACATCGTCCACAAACCAATGCCAGAAGGATATCAGCACAAAAGACAAGAATGGCCAGAAGAGAAATTCCATGACATTAAAAAAAAAAACAACAACAAAATGGAAAAAAGTTCACAACAAACGAACAAAACAATTGAAAAGAAATCGCTTTTAAAGCTATAAGGGGTAGTGGCGGAATGGAATGGTTCAATGCTAATGGTGAACGGGCTGCCACCAGAAGTGGAAATGTGCGTGTGGCAGTATATGTGTGTGCGCTCCGGTCTACTTGTAGCTTCTGATTTGATGAATTTTTATAGATTAAAAACAAAATATACTCTGCACTCTCGGTCGAGTTCAAAAGGTAAAAGCCAACCGGTAGGTTGTTAGGTAAGCATGCCTTCGTCACACACACACAATCAGCAGGAGCATGAAGGCCAACAAGTCTACCTGTCATGTTCTTCTTCACCTTCTTCATGGTGTTGTTGCTGTGGCATCGTATATTCTACAACGATTTGTATCTTTTTAATTAATGCAAATTTAACAAATTCACTTAAAAGGTAGCTGGCGTCAGACCTTGATGTTCTTCATCTTTTACCACCGGGGCAGGCAGAGTGAATTGACTCACCCACCCACTACCCAAACATTCATGGCAAAGGAGCAGAGCGTAAAATTAATGGTTCGTTTCAAAAAATACACAAACGCATCAAGCCAACAAATGCCAAAGGATATCATGTTTCTAATAAATCATTGATCAATGATGACTGACTGACTGTTGGTATCGGAACGGAGAGTTGAATGGTGGTAAAAATTAGTAGTGGAATTTTTTCGAAATTAAATTACAATTCAATTTTTTTGAATTTTAAATAATTACCAGGTAGGAGCGTAGTAAATATTTGTTAAATGTTGATTGCCTTAATTAGGTCATTATTTAATGGTGAATTTCCCCATGCCAAATGCTGTCCCTAAGGGAAACGTTGTGGGTATTAATTTGAATGGCACAATCTCACTACTCGAGGGATGACAATAAAGAAAGCTTGTGTCAGTTAATATTCTTTAGAAGAAATTGTATCTTTAGTTTGGCCTAGGGAAGTTTGGAATGATTGTTTGTATTAATTTTTCCAATCATTCCTAATTTAAAATTACACCATATCTATTTTAATTGTAACAGGTGAAGTAATTGGATTTTATTGTACAGCTGCTTCTGCAAGGGTGATAATAGTAATAATAAATAATACAATTGTCTAGGCCCAACATCTATGGGGAAAATGCAAATTTTCCAAAATATGTCATTTCAAAAAGTAACACATTTTCGAGAAACAACCAAATTACGCTTCGATATCAAAATGAAAAATGAAATGAAAATACCGAAATGGGACGAAGGTTTATTGGGTCCACACAATATGTTTATGTGGTAAAAATCCTTAAAGACAGCCCATTCTCGATGATAAAGAAAATATTTCATTCGGAGTCAGCAATTTTATCCAACATAATAACAAATTAACATTTATTCGATCCCAGTGGAACATGTAGCGACTGCTCGAAACAGTTCAACAAGTCTTTCCAAATTTACTATATTCATTTAGGATCTTTATTGTCCTCCTTTCATATCAGATCAGAATCATTCACGGCCAAACTAATCAACCTTAGATATTAGTAGAGATAAACGGTCAGTAATTTTTCCAAAGAAAAGCAGAGCTCATTGTCAAGACGTAGATAAAAAACTAACAGGCACCATATACCCCTTGTCCACGGGAGCAGATGTGAATTGCACAGGACGCATCCACAGGTCGCGGACAGTCAGCGAGTTTTGGGAGTCTCGCCTTAGCACTATGGTTACCAACCTTCCTGGGCTTGGCTGCTTAATATATAAGTGGATCTGCCGCTGGAATAATAGAATAGTTTTGTTTACAACCGATGAAAAGTTTTCTGAGCTATCATAGGTATAAAGTGGAAAAGGATACTACAAACATACGAAAAAACAGTAGAAGCCTACAGAAGCCTCTCTTAAAGATCCCCATATGAAATCTTATGAGTCAAACATTTTGAAATAACATGAAGATACTTTTTTTTTTGTATTGAACACCTTTTTACAACCCAATGTTCCGCTATTTAAGAATTGAAATCTGGCAACCCAACTTTACACCCTCATTCTCGTCATCTACATTTCAAGCTTCAACAATAAATTTTACCTCCACAACTATATCGACCACTATTAATCGATTTAATCGACTATTCCCTAATTCAAGAATGTCCCTAGAAAATTTCAAGTGAAAATCTCAAGAACTCTTGAAGATATAGTCGATTTATTGTGTCAGTATCAAGTGACGGCTGAAGGGCTTCTCAAACTTTAAACGCGTTTTTCTCCAAACATTGGTTTTGCGAATGGCGGGCACGATAGCTCCAAAACTAATAACCCAATCGATTAAAAATATTTACACGTTTCTCTGTGAGTGTATAGCTATCGTATGAACTAACTAGTTAAAAATTGGCAATTTTCCAAAAACATTTTTTTCAAAGGTCCGCAATTTTGTTAATTTTAGAGCGAAGTCAATAATCCTAGTTCATACGAGAGCCAGTCATGTACTCTTTCTAACACCGTTGGATTCCGATGTTCCAGTGAGGAGTTATCATGCCAGCAAACAAACAACAAACCATAACAAAAATTAAAGTCGAGAAAGGGGAGTCGAGAAACGCATCTGAGAATTCAACGAATTTCGATCTGTCGATTTCCTGCTTCACTATTACATCTTTTCCTTATGAATAAAACTAGAAAGTACACCGCGAAATATTCTGTATTTCATAAAATGGGCATTCTTTTGTGTTTGATATCAAGTTTTATAATCTCTTAAAGTTTGAAAAGAAACTAATTTCATAAAACTAAAAATGTAATAAATACAATTTGCGATTGCATTTAACAATCAATAACTACTAATATAAATGGTTTATCATGCGTTCATTTATTACTCACCAATAGCACGAAACATATGAACAATCAGCAATTTTGGGAAATAACAAATCTGTGGTCATTTTGAAAATCCAATGTGATAAATGATGCCAATGGGAGGGAAGAAGGACGACCGGTTAAATAGGTTGATTGGTTGGTCGGCTGGCTGGCTGGCTGGCTAGTGGTGATAATGTTTTGCAAGCGAAGAAATATTTTTGTTGTTGTTGTTCCGTTGAGTTTTAATTAAAAGTGTACCAAATATACGTTTTTTTTTTTTGTTTTTGCACTTTTTTTCAGACACAGTTTTTTCTATTTTTTATTTCACTTTCTTGTTATTGTAACTGAGGAAAAAACATAAAAACGAGAGCACAGCGAACTTTGCAAATGTTTAAATTAATGTTGCTCCTAAAAATAGGCACGTTTTTTGTTTCTTTTAATTGCTAAAAAAATATTTAAGAATTATTATTTATTTTAATTTAATTATTTTTTTTCTGTGGTTTTTAATTATTTCGCTTTTCAAATGTTGAGAAGAAAACAGAAAACACCTTCTAAAACATTTGGATGCACCACTCACTCACTCAACACTCTCTCACTCACCACTCACTCATCAAAATGAATTTCTTTTGGCTGGCTGTTGTGATGAAAATTGCATTTCGAAATAACTATGAGGTCGTTTCGTTCGTGTTTTCCTATGGCCGTTCGTCGTCCTTCCTTGCTGGGTGGCTGGTTGACGGAATGAATGACGTGGTGCACAAAAAGAGATGTGTGACTGTGGATTAGGGAGAACTACAAAACACAACACAAACTTCAATTCATCCGCGTATATCCTTGCTTCTCCGTGCGTTTTAATTTATTTTTTTTTGCTGCTGTAGGAGACTGAAGTCGGGGGGTTTGTTTTCGTTTTGATGAATTTCGTATTTCACAGACAGAGTCGACGACACATTTCTGTGTGCGTTGTAAAAGAGTTATGACAAGGATTTTTTTTTTAAATTATGTTATTGTTATGTTCTGCTTTTGTTTTGTTGGCAGGGACCAACCAACAGCTTGTAAGAAATTATAGGAAAGCACGTACGCCTAACTAATTCAAATTTTACTACTTGAGACCAAGTCGAGATTTCTCGAATAAAAATTGTTTCATTTGTCTTCTTGGTTGCTCGGTGTGCTTCTTGAGTTCATCATCGTTATCTATTACAATACGTTTTGAGGTTTGTTTTGGGCGAACCTTCAAGGCACCATTTGTTGTCTTCCTCTAAACAGAAAAATATATTTTATTTTTTAGCGTTGCTGTTGTGGAGTTGTGGAAGGTGTAAAGTTAAAATGCTATTGTTGCTGGTGTCACCTCTGCCGTAGATAGTATACCGCACAATTTGATGTCGCGTTTTATTTCGATATTTTATTTCTTTTTTATTCGTTTTATATTCAATTTAATTCTCGTCTACGTTTTGTGAATTTTTTTGTTATGTTTTTCTGTATGCGTATGCTGTGCTCCTTCGTTATGTTTCGGATTCGTGGTTGTTGTGGTGTTGATGATGGTCGTAGAGCAGCAGGAGCAGCAAATGGTTTTCAACTCCTTTGGCTTTTAGTTTTAGTTATTCTTCTTGTTGGTTTTTTTATTGGGGATACTAAAAATGCAACGTTGCGTTGTGTCGTTGCGAGAGGACCTCCGTACGCGTTCCCGGTTCTACATAAACTCAACTAGAACTTTTTGCTTGTCCGCAATTTAAGGAATATTCTGTGAATTGTTGCTGCTGTTGTCGTTGTTGTATGTGGCACACAAAACATTGAGTAAGGCAATGATTTGCGTGAGAGTAAACTTCGTTGTATGGGCGAGAGTTGTTCGGCGAGTATGTGTTTGTGTGCGAAAGTATTGCTACTTTTTGGGGGTTGGAGCTTGGTGACTCGATTTGCTACTGCTCCAGTTATTATTCGGAGATGTTGGAATATTTAAGAGTAAATGGACTATGGACTATGGTCCTCTGTGTCTCAGATGATTTTCAATTCAATTCTAAACAAAATGGAAATCTTTTCGGAAATCCCTAAAGTTGTTGCCGCCATTGTTCATTTATTTAGAAAATTAAGCCATTTTCATTATCCTAATGCATTGACACATTCATTACGCATTAGTGTGAATTTCTTAAATCCCAACATATGTAATTACCCATGTTTATCATTTAAAATGTGTCACCATCACCATGGCTGTCGTTTGTTCCGTTCGTACGTTCGCTCGTTCGTTGTTGTCAAATATAAAAACACCAGAGAGTGCTTAAAAAGGATAATTTCACAAATGTATGTCTGCAAATATAAAAAGCGTTTTATGTTAATTACTTTGAAAAATATCAGTCATATGTGTCTTTGAGTATTCATATGTGCGTATGTGTGTGCGTGAGAATGTGTAAATGTTTCATTGTGGTAATGACTGTCTGGTTAAGAAGGTGATAACAATCAGACAGAGACACATAAATGCAAATAAAAATTAATAACTTGAAAAATACTTATGAAATTGAAATGTATAATTTTAAAATATTTATGAATGCGTATGCGGTTTTCATTAACGAAAACAATTAAGAGATATCATGAAATTCGAAATTGAATACTAAAACTAACATCTTTAATCAGGTACAATATCGTACCTTGGAATTGAGGCCATATGTTTTTCATCTTAATAACATTTTAAATAGTTGATATCCCTGAATTCGACAAATTTAAAAATTCACTATTAAAATGACGAACGTCGACATAACATCACACATGTTCTTGCAGGAATACTATCATATTTTATTACACTATTGCCTTGTAGGGAAAGTGTATCGAAATGGCTTCAAATATTCGAAAAACGCAATCGAAGTAAGTCTATTGTTATTATTTTTTAAATATACAAATGTGTATATTATCGACGAGAAAATTTGGTTCTGAATAAAATTGTGTACGGTGTATGTTTAGAAATATTTCCAAGATACCTCTACTGTCCGATTTAAATTTGATAGTCTATGGCAGTTTTGTCTTAAAATGGCTAACAGAACTTCCAATTTTGTCAATACATTTTTATTAATTAAAACCGAAGAACCTGATTTTCAGCACTTTAGGTTCGATCTCTTGGTTAAATAAGATTTCATATTTCGCTAAAGGGTTTTCCAATAAGAACTTAACATATTTTCTATCTCTCAATCGACTTCAGATGAATCTACGTCTTTAAATCAAAAATCGGATAATTCACCTCTTCAACTGGTTTGGATAGTTTACTGTCTGTACGGCAGCTAGAAAGTAATTAAATTAAAAGAAATTCTTCTTAATTTAAAACGTTCCTTTTATTTTGAAACTTGAGGCAACTTCTGCTTATTCGCCTTATTGGAATGCCTAGTAAACGAATTTCTTAACAGATTGTTAGAATATGTCCATTTTCAAATTAAGCAAAGCTAATCTAATACAAACGATTTAATTCTCTTGTTATTCACATTAATTGAAACCCTTTCGTTTGCCATACAGAATCTACTCTCGAACAACAGCAAAACTTTTGCCTTAAATCAACTTTGACCTCGTTTTAATTTCCTCCATGCGATAGATTTCCAAAAAAAGAAATGATTCATTGCTTCCGATTGCTTGATACAAAATACAACAAAAACAAATATAGAAAGTCTATCATCGTCCGCCATACATCTAGTATATGCTAATTTCAAAATAATTCACTGTTGATTTACAATCATTGTCGTATTCATCTCCTGAGGCTCTATTTGAAAAAAAGAAACGAAGAAGGAAAATATACACATATCCTCTCAAAAATATTTCTAATGTGACCTCTGCATCAGGTCTGTTCTCTCTCGCCATCACCCAATCGCTCATTGCCCATCCAAAACAGTATTTTGTGCTGCTCTCTCTTTGGCTTGTCTTGTGCTATGCGTCTTACTCACATTATGCGCATAATGAGTAATAAGAAGGACTCTGGTCCTGCTGCTGCACGAAAAATTCAAATATCTACACAGTTTTGTTGCTATTCCAGTGCTCCTGCTCAGACATGTTTTCAGGTTGTTGTCTTTATGGCTGTTATTCACAAATGTAAACAAAGCCAACACGAATCATCGTGCTCCTTGTTGCTTTTCATATTTCTTCTCCATCTCCAGGTTTCCATAGGCTGTTGGCTTAGTGTCATAGAAGAGACACAACACAAGCAACTGGTCACAGACAGATGGGAGCAGCAGAGTGCTGATGGTGTGGTTGTCTGTTCGATGGTGGTGGTTGATTTGCATTTTGCACCCCTGTTGTCGTCTTGTTGTTGTTTTGGGGCTTTAAGGTGCCATCATCAATTATTAATGTTGTTCTAGGTTAGTTTTAGTACAACAGGTAAGGAATGAAATATGAGTTCGATAATATATTTTCCACTCCTTGTTGTGTTGCCTTACTGTTTTGTCTCATTTCTGACCATTTTTGGTGGAGATTGTGAATATGTTCCTAATGCTGTTTCTTATAGGTCAGGTAACGTTTGTCACGCTTCCGTATATTTGATACCACATTGAAATCTGCCGAAAAAAGAAAACATTTATTAAAATACTACATATATACATGTTGCTAATGCTTACCTCTTTATTTTTCTTTGCAAATTCTAAAAGCAGGTATCCAGCATATATAACTCTGGAACATAATTTCGTGCAATCTCCAAAAGCAGGAATCCAATATGGATCGTCTTTCCGATGGACACAAACTTTTGAATATACAAGTTCAGGGCCATGGCTTTCGAATGACACATGTCTCTATCGTACCATGGTTATGAACTTTATGTGGCCATAGTGATTACCATCACTGAAGCCAAAGCCTTGTAAGCCGTCAAATCGTACACCTACAGTACAATCACATAACCTCACCTTTTTAACTTGTTTCCAATATGTTCACCACTTCACAATAACATCACAAATATTAAAACAAATAATTTTCAAATATTGAAATTGCAATTGTTAAAATTTGCTTGATATAAACAATTTGAAAAAAATGTAAACAAACGCAAACTCAACTCCCGCGTATTATGCTTCACTCAATATAACCAACACACAACCAGAGTAGCCGAACCACATGATTGTTTGAATTGCAGTGGTAAAGCTTTGAAAAAGCCCCATTAAAATACCTATGATATTTATG